GTGGCATGGCGGTGTGGCTAATAATGGCGGTTTCAGTTTGGACTTTCAGATTGGACTGACAGTCATGTCTATTTTCAAACAAAATTGCTTTGATCTAAGCGGGCGACTTTTTTGTGGAAATAGAGACCTTGGCAAAAAAAGAAAAGTTGAAAGTTTGCAGAATAAAATACAGCGTGTCCCAGAAATAAGTGCAGATATTTTAAGGGGTGGTAGATCTGGTCAAAAGAAACATCTTTTCCCTTTACCATTTTTAAAATGAATTGGAAGTAATCGAGTTATTTAACTTACTTAACTAAAAAAAAATAATGGCAATAGGAAATATGTTGCAACATACAATTTATTAGATACAGGGTGGTCTATACCATCATATTACAATATCATTTATAGGGTGGTCTATCATCATATTACAGTCTTTCTGGGGTCGAAATATACTACCCCTAAAAATATTGTAGCGTTTTATTTTTCTTTTTATAAAATTCCAAATTTTAATATTGCTGGCGCCATCTATTCGCTAGATGTTAAACTTCATTCAGTACAGGTAGCGGTTCCTTTCCATAAAAACAAATTTCATTCAGTATAGACGATAGAGTTCACTTAATTGCCTTTGGTCATATGACCTGTCAATTCGAAGACTTCCGTTTTGCGAAAAGGAGGAAGGAGACTTTTTCCGAGAGATTGAGATCAGAAAAAGACGCGTGGTTCAGCGTCCGACGAATCTCAGAGAAAAAGGGTTTTCTGAAACACTTTTCCTAACAGTAAAGGCATGGGTATCCAAAGGTGGAGATTTGAAATCCTGTAGAATATACTGTTCAGAGCCTAGTTCGTGTTTTTTTGGCCTTTTCCTGGAATAAGATCACAGTAAGTGTATCTACCATTTTGTATCGCCATGTCTAACTAAATTTTATTTCAGTTATTCCCGTTTTTTATTTATTTTGATAATGTTTGATTGTGCATTACTGGTTTGGATCAGCATATAGTTTGGCTATATTTTGGAATGTGTACAGCTGATTTTCAGACCGTAAGTTATTTTTTTTTGTATTCGGTGACTGTTCTGAGAGGTTTTTTTTATATAGAGTAACTGGCGTATAAGAAATTGACGTATAAGTAATTGGCATATGAGTAACCACTTTTGAGACAGTATTTATGACTCTACATTTATTCTACTGATATCGAAGACTCCTGCTACTATCGAAGAGTCTACATCCACTTCCGTTAGTCTGGAGACTGCCTGCCTATCTGTTCACTACGTCATAAATTAAAAAAAAAATACAGATAAGTTCTAAGTTCAACACACAAGGTATTCCCTAAATTTTTTTTACTTTGAGATAATATTTTGAATATCTCTGTAAATTGTTGTCATTTATTCCATATATTATAGTCAAAATTTACCTTTTAGTTAACATTATAAGTCATGCTTTGTCCTTAACGGTACGTTTTACTTCAGTATGATCTTTTATGTGAGAATCGCTAACACGGATTCATTTTTGAAGGTTATTGTACACGATTTGTTTCGAAACATCATCGTATTGGTACTTACATAAATTTCACCTGTTTATATATTACGTAGTATAGTATACTGAAGAGAACTTTAACTAAATTTGAGTTTACTTAAAGCAACTAACGATTTCATTGGGATAATTGAAACCGGGTTTAAACTGATTGATAATTGTGTTCGTTTTTAAATAAATGTTCAACGTAGGATAGTTATATCTGACTTTTATTCTTGATGAACATAATAGACCCTTATTGCTGTTGATTATTTTATTTTAGCTATTTCATGATCAAATTTTCTTACTGGTTTCTTACTTTACCTTTTCATACCCAAAGTAAGTGGCGCCCTTTTTTACTGTCTTTGACCATTACTATTTGAATACTTAACATCAATTTTAGAATCTTTGCAGCCTATACATTATTACTTTTATTTTATTATTTAACAACATTATTAAGTCACCACAGGTCACAAGCCTTACCTACGAACCCAGCTCTCCTCTAACCCTGAGCAACGGATACCTTGTTCTTTCTGTTTGAGTGATGACAGAAAAAGTCGTCACAATATTTGCACTTATTTAAGACCCACCCTGCATTTTTTTTTTCGTTTAGAGACTATTGGTTTCTTTATTATAGTTTTTGCATTGTTATAGTTATACTTCAAAATTTCTCACATTTGTATGGTACTTTGCATATCCTATTCGTTTGTTTTAAAAACAATGAAACCCGCCCCAAAGGCACAGATTATAAAACACACCAGGAAAATCATTACGTAAAAACAATATCGATCGAATTTAAAATAACGATATTTTAAAATAGTTTGGCGTTTGTTTAATGGCTGTGCGCCTGACATTGAAATCGCTCCAACGTCTATAAATATTCCTTAAACATAAATATTTACTCGCGTTACTTTGATTTCAGTTTATGGCGTTGGGTAATTTAGCGGGGTCAAAAGTGTGTCTGGTTTGAGCAGATAAAAAATAATTGGAATAAGAATGTTAGGTAGTATATTTCGCAGTTGTATAGCGGAATTCGTTGCATTTCAGATCATTCACCAATGTCAAAAAAAATACAATTAAAATAAATAGAATATCCTACCAACAGCTTCCCCGTAGTCAGTTAGTATCCATAGAGAAAGTCTAAAGCCGGGTCCAGACCAAGCAGACAAAACAGCGACAAGACAGAAACATTCATGTTTTACGACAAAGTTGCGACAAATGCAATACCTACATTTCTGCAACATTTTTGTCTCATTTTTGTTTTGTTTCCAAATTCGGAGACTTTTGAATGTCCCGTCTCGAGTCGGTAAAGTTCAAAGAGTCTCTGTTTTGTCGTTTGTCGACAAGTTGTCGGTGCAGTGTGGATGTCGTGCGTTGCCATAAGCAGAAAACTAATGGAATCACAGCAAAATAAAACACTAAATCACCACAATACACCACAAATAACTTTTACTTTTACACTGGACGCGCGTTTCGCTAACCATGTTAGCATCATCAGCAGATGATTATAAACTGACATGGTTAGACATGGTTATGACATAACATGGTTAGCGAAACGCGCGTCCAGTGTAAAAGTAAAAGTGTTTTGGTGTATTGTGGTGATTTAGTGTTTTATTTTGCTGTGTAACACCAAAGGTTCCAACCCTCAACTGTAATAATGGAATCACACAAATTTAGTACTGTTGAGTGCTGGTACTGCTAATATATGACATTCGTATATGGTGAAGTGCTCCATCTTTATAAAAAAAATGTCAGAAGAGAGAAAGTGGAACACGGAAAATGCCGTGTTCTTATTTACTGGACTATGGATTACAATGATAAACATTGTAAATCTCTAAAATTGTCGTCTCCAAAAAATTCTTTCACGTTAAAACAAAGTGATGCAAACCTTTTTCTATGTGTATATTAAAACGATTTAAATAGTTTACACTGTTCCCACTGTCGCCATTTTGTTTCCCTTCATTAATTTAGAGACTTACTGTTTTAGGTTGGCCAATCCTGATTGTGTAAGGCCCAGCACTATTTTAATCGGGCTTGGCCAATCGACGTCAGTCTCTATATTTGCCGGCCAATCCTAGACCGAGTTCGTGCGTCAGCTGGTCGTCGGGCGGCGTTGTCGGATTTCCTCCAAAGAATTTTCGTTTAGGGATCGGATCGATATGCGGCAACGGTGCGATGACCTCGTGGGATAGTGTTTTTGAGGGTATTTTTAGTACTGGGTAAGTAACTATCTATCGATTGAGTTTTTTTCTGTTAAATATCGTTTTTTTTAAATCAAATAAATTTTATGGCGTAATAGTTTTCTAGCCATATGTTTTCAGGATTGTTTGAGTTTTATTTCTGTTCGTTCAAGGTGAAAAAAATCGTTTTCTTTGAACTGAAAATACGAATTGTTTTTATAATTTTTTTTCGGTCTAGTCCTTCACGTTTGTTTAGTTTTGTAAGATTATTTTTGGTCAAGATTAATTTTTAAATATCAAATTTAGTTGAAATATAAAACATCTGTTGTTGTACTATTAAAAATATACAGGGTGAGTCCTAAATAACTGCAAATATTTTTAGGGGTAGTATATTTCGACCCAAGAAACACGATTATGAGGCTTTTTTGGCGATTTTTTTTTTGAAAATTTGGTATTTGTTGGAAAAATGTTAGCAAATTTTTTTAATTTTTAGTTAAAAAACATAAATTCTTGATAATATGGCAACATACTAGGTAGTAGATTAAATTTACAAGAAAGAAAACCCAGAAAAAATCCGGTGGTTCTCAAAATTTTAGCAAAAAATCGTTTTTTTTTTAAAAATTTCAAAGTAAAATAACTCGGTTATTTTGGACTTATTTAAAAAACGGCGAAGAGATAATATGTTTCTTTTATCGAGATCTATCAACTCTGTTAATATTTGCACTTATTTAAGACTCACCCTGTATACAGAGCGATACAGATACCATTACAGAATTTGCGATTTAATTCTTTTTATCCCGTATATTTTAATCTTTGTATATTTTATTTTTGACAAAGAGCGAAATATAATTTATAATATACAGATAAAAAACCAGATTTGGTATGTTAGTATATGACATAAATTTTAGTGATTGACGTATTTAGTTGTTTTCGGTCACTTCCTCTTTAACCGGAAATGACTACAACTTACTACACTTACACTCTCGGTATTTTTTTTACTTCATTTGATAGAAAATGGCATTCTTTGCCGTCCCTGGCGCCGTTTTTTTTTCAATCGTATGGTATTAAAAAAATATCGGTAAAATATCTTTTAGAATGTCATTTTTGAACTGTCTACATTCAATAACCTCCGAAATTTCTGAAATTTTAGTTTGTTTTGTCTGCGTATTTATCTACGTTTGGTTCACCGGTTTGTCCTTCCTTTGTTATTACAACGAAAACATTGGCGTATTTTTATCAATAATATTTGGCGAAAAATGTTATCAAAAAGATAACAACCAACATATCAGGTACACCACATGCGAATACGTCAGTTTGTTCTACCCAAGTCAAGTTCAGTCCATCCGAAACCTTTGTGACAAAAGTTTGGGGATCGTAACTTGTTTTTTTTTGAACTTGTGTGCTTGGAACTTGAATGAAAATATTTGTTAACTTTTGTGTTCGGGGTAGTTCGGTTTTAAAAAAGTGTGCTAAATGTGTTTAAAATCGAACGTATGGAGTGTTGATGAAAATATGCGTTTATCTACAATGTTTGGTGTACCAGTAAGGTAAAAAACATTAATTCACGTTTTATTAGTAATATTACGAATTATTTTTTTTTAATTCAGAACATTTATTATAGTAACGAAGTGCCAAAAATGTGATTTATTAGTATTAAAAATCGCATTTTTGCAAGACCAAATTTCAAGGGGTTTTAAAATTATGTTAAATCTTAGAAAAAAAGGAATTTTGAAATTTCTTAAATTATAAATGAAAATCTTAAATACCATTATTTTTTTTTAATTCCCTATACAATGTAATTTGTTATCAACTATTTTAATATGTACAGGGTGGGCCAAATTCGACTCTTTTAAATGGAAACATCCTTGTCTATAGGAGATAGACAAAAACTAATATCGGTGTCTGGAGCTCAATTTTTGTCAAAAACAAGATGGTGAAAACCGCATATCGATATCTGTTACCGTTTCGGAGCCACGGGGTGTTTTTCAAAAATATGCTTTTTAGCAAATCGCTGTAACTTTTTTGCTATGGAAAATTTTGTATTTTTATGAAAACATTTCCAAGGCACCTTTTTACGTAGAATTTAATGGTTTAAGTATATATTTTTTTTTAATTAATAATTTAAGAATTGTCAACAGAAAACTTAATTTTTTATATAGAACACCCTGTATATTTTTAATCTATTGAAAAGAATTTAAAATTACCTTTCCAAAAATATAACACACTTGATATTTCTTTTTTTTTTATTATTTTTTTTTATATTTTTTATTTTTACGACATCGTCTGTAGATATAGAAGAAGTTTTGCTTGCCGTATCGGTGAGAACCAGCCCCTGGACAGCCCACCTGATGAAGGGTAGGCCCAGAAACCGGTTGTGGGAGTGGAGCTTGGTTCCCCCCTTTACGACAAGCAAAACAATTATTAAAGTTATCAATTTTCTCTTTGTTTCTGCTTTTTGACCATTAAAAATTTAAATCTCATTTCGTTTTAGAAACCAGAAAAAAAACGTCATTGTGTTTATTTTGGGAACTGATTACTTTTTTTATTGCTCTGTAGATTATTTTTCATTAAAAGTCTTTGGTAAGGTCTGAGTTTTTTTTACTTATAAACATAAAATGTCTCAAAGATTATGAAAAATAATAGACGATAAGTTTGGTTGTGTATATTTATAAAATGAACTGTTGATTTTGATTCTCTGGCACGCCACTGGACAAAACTGCATTGAATTTCGTTCCGATCCAATAGATTTGCAGGGCACGTCACACACGGGGGCATTTTTGTCAAAAAATCGGCACATGGAGTCCGATAGCACACAGCAGCAGCGGCAGCAACAGCAGGGCGAATAGTTTCTGACCACATACCACATTCACCGTGCTAGTTAGTGCCCGTGCCCGAGGCATATAGATATGAGAGCTCAGACAGATCGATAAATATCGGTATATAATAGAATGTTGGCCGTTTGCCATATAGATAGATATCCGAGAATTTCGACCATACCGCCTATAATGCGATTATACAGGGTATAATCGCATTATAGTATATTTCGACTCCAGAAACACGATTATGACGTTTTTGTTTGGCGTTTTTTTTTTGGAAAATGGTATAGCCGGATTAATATAGGAAATCTGCCCCGCGGCTTTTTTGACTCGCACTCAGGGGATCGATTTGGTGTCGAATCAAAATAATTCACCTAAACTTTAGCTGTTTAACTCAATCGGTTTTCGAGTTTTTTCAATTTTATTTTTATTTTTATAGTAAAATTCAAAATTAATTAATGATGATTTTTTTTCTAATTCTTAGAAGTCTAAAGGTGCGTATTCATTATCCGAACGAACGAACGAACGAACGAATGAAAGTGTATGAAGAACGAACGAATGAGTAAGAACGAACGAACGAATGAAAGTATATTTAGACGGGGACCGAACGCATGCGGCCGTTCGTTCGGTCGTGCGCTCGACCATCCGCTTCGAGTCGGTACATCAAAGGCGTTCGCCTGCGTGCGCTTTCAGATTTAAGGTGCGTATTCATTATCCGAAATTGCCTCTGAATTCACATGAGAACAGAGATGAGGATATCTATGGAAAAGAACGCATGCGGCCGTTCGTTCGTTCGTGCGCTCTACCATCCGCTTCGAGTCGGTACATCAAAGGCGTTTAGACGTCATGGTACAAAGAATACAAGGTATGATCGATAGCGGCTCCAATTCTCTGTTCAGTTCGCGCATACCACCTGTGACGTCACTAGGAAAATAATGAATAAATAAAAATAAAAGAAAGTTGACAGGAGATCTGCATTTTGAGGTTATGGTTAAGAATTGTTTATTTTTAAGACTTTTTAGTTCGTTTAATTTAATAATTACTAAAACCAGCAGTTCCAAAAATATATTTAAAATAATAATTATCTATTAACATGGATTTGGACGATAATAGGTAAAAATACTAAATTTATTTCTATATTCGCTATAAAATTGTTTATTAGGTTTTTAGTTTGCGATGTTTATGGTAAATAATTTTCATTTTATTGCCTCTGAATTCACATGAGGACAGAGATGAGAATATCTATGGAAAAGTAAGTAACCACAAGAGGAATGTTACATCATTTAAAAAATGTTGGGAAGTTTATTGTTTCCCATCGAAAAGTAGAAAATGCCAATGCAGATGAACGTATTGTAATTGTGATAGAAGTAATTCCAAGGGGTGAAGTTTATTATAATTAGTGGAAGTAATACCAAGGGTGAAGTTTATTATAATTAGTGACCTGTGCTTCTTTTTATATGTAGATGTTTCTGGTTTTGAGAATAAATCGGTTGAACCACACCCAAAATTTTAGTAGTATTTGCATACCCAGAATATGCCCATCAAGGGTTATATAGCTCAAATTTCCTTTAATGGTAGGCAATTATTCAATGCAAATTAACTTTTTAAGCGACTGAAATATTAAATAGTTTACAATATGGTATATCACTAAAAATATATTACTTTTAGGTACAATTAGGGCCCGATACATTTCAAAAAGTAGAATATTATTTTATATTAAATGAGGTCTAACAATCAATTTATATTAATAACGGAGATTAAAAAATAACAGAATAAATCGTTCTTTTTCTTATACTACAAAAATAAACTATAGAATACAACAGTATTTAAAAAGAAAATAAAAAGTGATGTTCCGGCCGAGATTCGAACTCCGGTCTCTCGCTTCCTAGCCCGACTCCTTATGCACTGCTCCATAGTAACTTGCTTAGCGATAATTCAATGACGGTATATAAACAAAAAAAAACAGGTTTATAACAATATCTTGACGATTTGAACTGACGCACGAATGAAGAAATGCGTGCGGTCTTCTCGTGCGGTTCTATCGTGCGGTCCCCGTCCATACCACTAGCGAACATTCGTTCGTTCGTTCGTTTGTTCGTGCGGATAATGAATACGCACCTTTAAACGTAAAGCCGATTTTTAGCGGAGGAAAGAAAATGAAAATGTTTATTTTTTTAACCTTTGTGAAAATGTCACTCACTAAAAATCGTCCGAAAATGTCTTTTATACTTCTTTACACACAGGAATTTTTTAGAATTTTTTGAAGTGGTGGAACAATATGAAAAAAAATAAAAACTCTTCTTTTTTTCTAAAATCTTCTCGGACTCATTTTTTTAATAACAATCTTTATGTTTATTTCCGGCAAGGATGTATTTTTAATGAAAAAATATTTTCTACTCACTTTTTTAAACTAAACAAAAATATAAGTTAGTTAATACAGAAGATTTTAGAGAAAAAAAATGAGTTTTTAATTCTTTTCATATTGTTGCACCGCTTCAAAAAAATCTAAAAAATTCCTGAGTGTAAAGAAGTATAAAAGACATTTTCTGACGATTTTTAGTGAGTGACATTTTCACAAAGGTTAAAAAAATAAACATTTTCATTTTCTTTCCTCCGCTAAAAATCGGCTTTTTGTTTAAGAATCATTAGAAAAAAATCATCATTAATTAATTTTGAATTTTACTATAAAAATAAAATTGAAAAAAGTTTTTTTTTGAAAATCTCGAAAACCGTTTTAGTTAAAGAGCTAAAAATTTAGGTGAATTATTTTGATTCGACACCAAATCGATCTCCTGAGTGCGAGTCAAAAAAGCCGCGGGGGCAGAATACCTATACCGGGTGCGTCTCAAAAGTGGCTCACCCCTATAACTTTTTTATTTTTGCAGATAAATAAACGAGATTTGGTATGTTAGTATATGACGTAAATTAGGATTGATTGATGTATTCAATTGTTTTTGGTCACTTCCGGTTTCACCGGAAATGACTTCAACTGTTGATTTTTAAATGGCACCCTCGGTATATTTTTACTGTATTCGATAGAAAAACAGTAAGAGTCAGATTTTGACAGTCTCGCTTAAGAAAAAATTGTATTTTACAATTCAATCTAGGGTGCCATGGCTATGTCAAAAACACTAATTATTCATCAATGAGCCTAGAAAAAATAGATTCGATCGTCTAATGTTTTTAGTGTCTTGTCCTGGCCAGTTAGAAATTGCTCTAATCGTATTTTTAAACATATCTCAATTTTTTCAAATGGAACGAGGATGGCTCATTAGCATATTTGGAAAAAGCACTTTTTTACGAATAATTTGATACCACACACTTGGTATTTCGAGTCAAATTATCTATACATTTATGGCTATGGCACTGTAAAATTTCAAATGCTATTTTTTTTAAATGAAAATGTCAGAAGTTGACATATATGCTATGTCATTCTATTCAGAATGTCATTTTCTATTGAATAAAGTAAAAAAATACCGGGAGTGCCATTTAAAAATCAAAAGTTGTAGTCATTTCCGGTGAAACCGGAAGTGACCGAAAACAATTGAATACATCAACCAATCCTAATTTATGTCATATACTAACATACCAAATCTCGTTTTTTTAAATAAAAAAATAAAAAAATTACAGGGGTGAGCCACTTTTGAGACGCATCCGGTATTATCCGGCCATTGGAATTTTTTGATTTTTTTTTTGGAAAATTTGGAATTTTCTGAAAATTTTTTTGGAAA